GCTTCTCCTTACCGAAGTGCATGAGTCTTTGTTGATCCATTTGACGTTGATCACTAGCCACCATCACTGTTTCCCAAAGCATTCAATGCTCTATTGTTTCCTTTGAATCTCACCTCTCAGCTTCCTCTCCCTCTTTCTCCACAATTTTTTCTAAAATTCGAACAATATTTGGAACAGTGGGTAGATTAATTGCTCAAGGTTTTTGCAAAGATTTTAGGAATATTGTTAGGCGTATATTGGTGCAAATAAGAGAGTACAAAAAATTAAGAATAGGGTTTAACTCAAATAGTTAACTTTGGTAGTCATTCATTTTGTAACTATTTAGATTCTCAATAACTGTTAATTGATTCACATCTTTTTAATAAAAAAAACTTACTCAAATATCTTTAAATTGTTGTTTAGGAGCCAACAACAGCTGCCTCCTAAACGCTAAAACAAACACCCATATAATACTTAAACTAGTATTAATTTAATGTCAATTATTGGAATCAATGAACATCTCACCAAAGCAATTTTCTACGTACAAATTTCTAAGGAGAAATGAAATAATCTTCTATTAAATCTTCTTAAGTGAGAATTGAGTAGATTCTATTCACAAAATCACTAGCTATTAGAATTAATGAGAAATTGAGACACAAAATTAGCATGAATTGCCTAACTAAAAATATTTGTTGAATTAAGGGGAGTGTTATATATATGCATCACACTTTTTTCCCTTTGCCTAACAAGGTTTTTAATGAAGTAGTTTAACAATATATAATAAAAAGGTAAACATTTAAGGAGAAGTTTTATGAAATTGGCTATTGCACTTTTTTGCCACTAACAAAAACAATAATATTCTTGGCAATTTAACAATTATTTCTTGGGAGTTTTAATTCATCACCAACAGATAACTAATGAGTTTCTCTTCTTTAAAATTAGTTGATATTTGCATGTAACAATTATCAATGTTCGAGAATTACAATATAAATAGAAATTACTTACAAGAATTATTGCACAATAAATTTTCATTTTAAGAGTTACAATTTCTTCATGTCATAAATAAGTCTATTTCTGTGAAATAAAATATAAGTTACAAGCTTTCTTCTTGTTGATATTATTCTCCAACTTCTTTCTCGTTCTTGTTTCATTCACTTTCATATTATTTCATAATATAAGAAAAAAATATTGTTAACATTATCTTAAAAATAGATAAATCTTTACCATAAATGATCTTGAATGAGTGGATAGATATTAATTTACATGTCCCTTCCAATAAAAAAGAGCAAAAAAAATTACTATAGCATCATATAAGAATGTATTGTCAATAAATATGGTTAATAAATCATTATTATTATTATTATTTTAATTTTGAATTGTTGATAAACAGTTTTTTTTTTAACTCACTCCATCTACATATAAACAAATTATTTGTGTTTTATTATTTTCCACTATTTGTGAATTTTGATTACCCAAAAGTTAAAATTGATCATAATAACTTGGCACATAGAAGTTAGGCCCTTAGTATTACATGGATACCGCACCCAATGGCCACGCATGACATGTTGTGAAAAAGGTTCCAAGGACATCACTCATTCGCT